GACATTTCAAGCCCCATGAGGAAATCAGCCGCTGGACACGGCAATGCGCATGAAAGACGCTTGTAGGCTTCAAGTTCGTTCAGAAGAACATCTTTCCTGGATTTGCGCTCAAGATGCTCCTTTGGAAAGACCTTGAGACACAACAGGCGATTCGATGCTACGTCTTCAGCTCCCATCGCCACGCCGTACGCGCCCTCGCCCAATGTGCCCCAAACACGAAAGGGGCCATACGTGCATGACACCGGTGTAGTTCGGACCACCTCTGCTGGGCCGGTGTGCGTGAAGGTAAATACGTGAGCAGGTGTTGGAGGGTCGGCTGGAGGGTCGGCCGGCTTCGAGGCAGAAGGGTATTGAAGATCGGGGAGCTCTGAGCGAGGATTCGCGATGCCAGCATCGACTACGGTAGACATTATGACGGGAGCATTGGATGTAGCGATCGACTTTTGAGCGACCATGCCTGACAGATAAGAATGAGGAGAAGGATATGGAAATGCCAAGGAGCAATTCGACGGGCGTATTTAAGAGCTCCTTGGTAGGACCACAACGCGCTTTAAATAATGAGTTGTGGAGCGTCGATTTGTGAATTGTGTGAAAACACCCACAGGGTAATCATGGCGACTAGCCACTGTCGATCACGACGGGGGAGATTGTGGAGATGTGCGCTGTGGAACAATCAAAACACGTTGCGACCACAGTTGAGCAGCGAGCGTCGGTGCACATTGCTGCCAGCTGCCGAGTGGTCGATAACACGCACGATATCAAAGCAATGCGATGCCGCAAAAATGTGCATGTTCAAGTTTAGAATGCGAGCAGTCTTAGCACCGAACATTCTATTCAAGCGCTAACCGCTGCAAGGCATGCTGTTACAGGTGCTTTACTTCTTCTGAACATTTATTTATCAGCGTTGTACGATAGACCACGAATGGGGATCTTCAGAAGAATCTGTACATTATTCTTCGTATACTTATCTCATGAATGCCAAGTTGATGTCCCTAGCCGTGGAGTCGGTTGCTCAAGATAGTCTCCGCGGCAGCGGTATTGACATTTACAAAGTATAGATGTATGTTAGCAGACAGATTGGAGTGATGCATGAACTACACCTTTGGATGACAGCATGACAGAGTCATGAAATGAAATGACAGCGTTTGAAGGTAATAACAGGGTTGATGATTCAGATTCAAACTTTACATGTTCAACGGGCTTGTGCGGACGTGTCGATCACGGCGTGATCCCATGGAGGTCGCGATTGCGAGTAGGAAAGTAACCGAGTCGGTGAGTTATATTTTGGTTTCGGCTTGATACATAACAAGGTTGATAACGGGAAAATACATGTAGAGCAGTAGGTTCAAAATCCTCTTGAACTAATATTAGCATATACTGTGACACGCGAAAAAAAATACGAAAGGTACTGACACAACACAACAGACGCCCCGTCACGGTTCACCTGCAAGCTCTCGATCTGAAATCACAAGTGATGTGGGAGGTGGTCGAGATGCAGCACGAGCGACGAACCAGAAGCTGTAACGATAAAGGCAAGCAAGCAAAGAGCACGATGATCCCAATGAAGTTGCAGCTGACCCGGGCCGGCAAAAACCGCGAAACCTTTTTAACTCTTCTACTAGGTACATCTGCAAAACGACTGAAATGAACGCTTAACTTACGCGCGTTACGAACACTTACGAACGCTTACGACTTCAGTAGCGAAGTCATGCGATTGGTGGAGATGTTGAACATCAATATTACACACCATATCTGGCTGATAAACTGAAGCCGAGTTCGATAAGATGCGATATGCTCAGAGATGCGATGCGATAGATACGATGGATGCGATAGCAATAGATACAATTGCTACATACCGATTAATCTACTGTCTATACAAACTCAGTACTGAATGCATGATAACTCTCCTTGTCCGCAAAATTATTCAGAAAGAAACACTCATAGCTTTCTGAGCATGTCGCAGAGGTCATGCTCTTGTCCACCGCCTCACCATACTCTGGTATCAATTCGACCGCATGCGTTGCATCCGTAAGTCGCACGACAGCTCCATGTCTATGGCGGTGACCATTTGCATCATGAGTGTACACGCGTTCCACGGTCCACATCATGAGTTCAGGACGGTCTTCAGGACGAGAGACGAAACGGAAATACTGGACATATAGAAGGGGTTTGGAAAGGTACGATGGCAGCTCCACGTCTGAACCTCGTCGAATCGTCGGCTGAAAAATAAGCTGAACTTGCGCGACATAACTAGCTATATATGATATCAGTAGTGCTCACTCAATATACAGGGAACACACATACTTATGTTGCCATCCATGCCTGGGCCATTGATAAGAATGGTATCGCAGTTGCCCAAGGGGAAATCATTGCTCGGCGGGTAGGCTTGTACTACCCTGCTTGGCATGATGACCCGTGGCTGGAAGGCCGAGTGCAGCTGCAGCCGAAACTTGTTCCACACCTGGAAGCGCCCATATTTGGGGTCCCAGCAGGTGTGCTCGTCGCTAGCCAGGGATGAACAACGAATAAAGTCGGTGAGCGTGTGATCAAAGTCGGGGAGAGTGTATTTCGTGCGTATTTCAGCCGGTGACAGTGATTTATAGTCTGGGGTAACATTCAGTTGGAAAGCCGTGAGCGCGTCTCCAGAAAGAATGCCCTTGAGAAAGTGGTTACGGACTGGTCTGGGACCATGAACCGACTTCACCTCATCAGGGAGTATGCGGGAAACCCAAGAAAGTGCAGGATTAGCGATTGTGACATCCTCATCTTCAGCGTGGATGGCATTGACCAGTGATGCTCCCCGAGAAGTCAACAACGCATATAAATCAAATATTTCCATCGACTCCTGACAATTAAGAATACGAACGCACTGCTCCGTGAAATCTTTGCTTTGTCGAGCCATCCGGGGGAAAAGATCCTTACAGTGCGTTATGAGCAATCGCTCCGTCGTATCAGCCGAGAATTGCATCAATGTGCCCAACCTCCTGATCGTACCCTCGAAACTTTGCATTAGCTCGAGTTTTGGAATAAAGAAATCTTCTTTCACGCCTTTCTTCCCCTTCCTCGCTTCTGCAGCAACGATAGCGTCCTTGAAGGTGTGAAAATCCGAAAGTGCCTGTGTCAGGGCTTGGAGTGATTGGGGTGAATGAACTGGGTGTTGTGCAAGATATGTGAAGTCTACAAGGCCGCGGATTGCGCGAATAAATCTGGGTGAAACGGCACCTGCGATTGATGCAACGATAGTGCGTTGTATATCTCTATATTCACGGCCCATCATTTGCTTGACATGCGTGATCCCTTTGGCGAAGTGGCGCGTGCCAACCCGCTTATGCTGAGCAATGTAACGGGTATCAAGCTCGTAAGCTCCTACAGTCTCCTTCACCCATTTGAGCGGGTGATCAGCGAAAAATTTGAAGCAGGTATGTAGAATTTCGCCAGCGAGGAAGACGGATGGGCATGCATATATCCAATTGCGCCAGTAAGGCATGTGAACTCCAGACAGATTAAGAGCTTTGGCCGCTTTCTGGAACTTGTCGAGGTCCCAGGGATCAACTGTCTTGGCAATACCGACGAGGAGTTCCAATGTATGCTTCCCGGTATGAGGGGGGTGGAGGATCCCATCACCAAAATGCTCTTGCGTCGCCATAGTCAGAGGAGATGCGTTTTTAGCAACTGCAGCGATCATGGTGGCCTCTGGCAGGTCGCATACATGAGCTACAAGGGGCGTGAAAACATAACGGATAAATCTAAAAGGGTCAGGCATGAAACATCCCTCTGCTGCCGCAGCCTTGAGGTTAGCACAGACGAGGTCCATGCATTTATGCCATAGCCGTGCCTGAAGAATACTCTGATAATCTGGATGCACACGGAACTTTACGATTGGCATGTATGCAATGCAGCGCCAAGCTCGTAATGTTGCTTTAGAACGAACCTCCGAATCGATGTTACCGATGGTGATGAAAATCGGGTGCATCTCCAGTCCTCCAGTAAGTCGCGTGACAGGAGTTTTATCGGACCCCAAGATGATGGGAACCTGGGTTGCGCCAATAGGCAGGTGGTCCTAGAAAATCACAAGTCTTTCCGTGACTCGGTGAGGAACGTATTAATATAGTGAACAGACCTAGATTTTCCATGCCATATCAGCGCTCATGTAATCTCCATATTCATGCTGATTACCGACACCGATGTGTTGTGGGATGAATGTCATGTGGTTCGCAAAGATAGGGTCACTAAAGAGTTGCTTGACTACATCCAATGCATCGCGCCAAATGAGTTCGATGGGATAAACGGTCTTGTAGCCTGAAAACTCTATTTTGGAGACTTGCCACTCCGTAAAACAAGGAAGCGAGTCCATCCAGTCCAAGAGTTTATCCTTCGTAGTGAAAGACGGTCTTGTGTGATTGTTAAACTGTTTAAAATCAGACTTGTGCCTACAGCTTAGACAATCCTACTTACCCATTTCAACTTCAAAAACTTAGTGATTTGCATTTGAGTGAGGTTTTCGACCAAGAACTTCCCTAATTCCCATTTGCCTTCATCGTGGAAAGGGTAGTAATGGTTGATCTTTTGCCGGTACACATATGTATCGTCTTCCAACCTATCGAGCATGTTTTTACCAATGCCGAAGACATATCCGGAATCTTGATGACAAGCATCAGTGGTACTTGAAACAGGACTTTGACGGAATACAGGAGGGACAGGTAATTCTTGTGGTCATGCTTCAGGTGGCCAGCAGGTAGATTGGGAATTGAGGTGCGTAATAAGTGACTCAATGGACGGAAACTCTCTCAATTTGCAGTTTGGACATAACCTGCAAAGGTATGCGCGCATGATCAGGCTGGCATCAGGGTTTAACAGACTACTCACATTGTAGACTTCGACATGTGCTGCCCTGCCTGGGCTGTCAGTGATTTGCAACTGCGCAGTCTTTCAAAGTCTGCAGGATTGCGCACCTTCACTGCACCCGTCAACACCTGGTGAGCTGTCTACACAGCGAGATGATGGACTTTGCACCTTTATCTCACATTTCGTCTCCCCCTCGACCAAGCAGTCCTACTCACACCAACTCCAGCAGTGCAACCCGTGTTGAACCAGCGTTCTTTGATTTTTTTCTCAAGAAAGCAGATAACTCACCCTGTTTGATGACCTCTGATATAGGACCTGGTACTGATCATTCAGGTTCTCCTCATTCTGGTTCTCTCCCAGCTCCTCTCTCCCCAGTGGATGAGGTGTCAAACTCTCCTGTAGTGAGAGAGGGCTTATTGCATAGCCCTTCCCGTCGCGGAAAGCATGAATTCGCATCTCCGTCCCGTCGTGGGAAGCCTGGCCACACACCTGCAATGAAAGAGAGCTTATTGCGTAGCCCTTCCCCTTGTGAATCACATCGCATGTCGTCTCCTTCCTGTAGAAAGCGTCATGCCACATATTCTTGTCATCTGTCTTCTCAATCCCCCAACTCATCCCTTCCCCCTCGTTCGTCTTCTCCTCCAGCTTCTCCCCTTTTTGGGAAGTTTACAATGGCTTCTCCATTAGAGCTCCGTATCTCAGCTCATGCATTAGGGTGAGAATGCCGACCAGAGTTCACGGCTGAAGACATTGCAGAGGTACGTTTTAAATATCATTTTATTTGGTTTATTGTGTAATCTTACGGTAAAAGCACGAGGAGTTGATGATGAAGGGCCTCGCGGAAATGAACTTATCGACTATGTACAAATTATTCAAGGCAAGGCTTGCTGGCCGTGAAGCTGCACGTCAACACCTCACGGTTACAGCATGGGCAATTCAAGAAGCAAAGCACTACTTAGAGTTTTCTGAGGCGCTCAACGAGGATAGCAAAATGTGCCTCAAATATTCTGATGAAGAATTCCGAAGAGTTAGAGCTGCTCTCACCGGGCATCACCATTCAGATATCGAGGACGACGGGAACTACCTTCAAGCTGCCTACAATGATGAATGCAACACTCTTCGCGCCGTTGCTGCCCAGGCAGACGCAATGGGAAAGATTCTGGGCCTGAACATCAAGAACGACTTACTGTCATCTAGGGGAGAATCTTCTCATCGCCCTCAATTCACTAGCTCGGCTGATCCCAGTGATTCCCATACGTCCTCCGATTTAGATGGTGACGATCACAATGGTACCATGGATTCGGACGATGACGAAGAATCTGAAGGCCATGATGCATAGCTCCAATCACACGGCCCTTCTTTTTGTGCCCTCTTTTCCAAATCATGGTATTTAAATTTGACTGCCAGCTCGTCGCTCGCTAATGAATATATCAGTAAATAGCCATACATTCAATTATGTTCGGATCGTGCCGTTCACATGTCGACTTTTTGAACACGCGCCATTCATATAGCTGCTTCTCGAACACCATGCCTTTCCCTACCGTCCATATATGTCAATAGTCTTACTTATCGCGCCAGGCCATTCACATTCACTACATCACTTCGTGATCGGACCGCCATGCTTTTATGTACGTTTGGGTGTGTTTTATTACCTTTGTGTGTAATATCATCGAATTTGACGCAATCAGTGCGCTATCGATTGTTGCCTCTCTCTTGTACTAACCACTATATGGCTAACCGTCCTTCACAACGAAAGGGCAAGGCTGCTGTCCCCAAACCAGCAAGGGGGTCGGGACTAAACCCATCAGGACTTCCAGCCGCTGATCAACTCAACATTCCAGCCGAACAACCTTCTGTGCCAGCATTCAGTTTCAATCCACACGAAGACAGTATGCAGTGGCAAAGTGGGGGCCCAGGTGAGTGATTTATCAATCGCAAGTATTCACAAACTAACAAGCCAAAAAAAATAGATCAACACTCTTTCCGTGGACTCACGCACTACGACGACTCGCACGCATCTGGCTCTACGTCCTTCGGCGCGCAATTTGCACAGCCTCAACCATCACACGAAGACCATTTCACGCAGTCACAACCCCCCCACGACGACACTACTACATCCTACGACGGGTACCCTTACGACCAGGACGGATTCGGAGACACGGGGGACCGGCCGTATGGCGGCCCGTCCTTCACCAACCCCCAACCCAATTTCTCGTATGACGGCTCGTCCTTCACCAACCCCCAACCCAATCTGTCGCAGCCCCACTACGACGGCACCTCTCAACCTAATCTGTCACAGCCCCACTACGACGGCATGTCCTATGATGGGTACCCTTACGACCAAGACGGATTCGGAGACACGGGGGACCAGCTGTACGACGGCCCATCCTCATCCAACTTAGGAACATCCGGGGGGCCTCAAGAGGGTGCCCACGTGCACGGAACACCCTTACCAGCATGGGTCGACAAAGCCCCTGATGGAGGAGCCGCTATGATAGACCGAGGGGCGGGCTTTATGCCCCCGGCTACCAATCTAGCCCTCTTATGGCGAGGGGAGATTCCTCGAGAAGAGGTTGTCCATGTAAGTGTTTCGTTTATTGTGCTACCCTAACTAACAACTACATAGACCAAGGGGCCGGCACATACTACGAAGAAACGCAGTACCAGGGCCAACCTACCTGCAACCCCATACTTTGTCCCGCAAGCCCCCCGCAGCACCACCGAACCGCAGACACGCGCAGCGGTGCACATGACGGCACCCCAAACACCTGTCGTCGCTGAACATTCAACGCCGACATTGAAGACGGTACGGGTGTCAAACGAAGACATCAGCGACGCTGTGAAGGGGGGGAAAGTTTTAATTGGGCGGGTGATGTTTACAAAACATGCGATGATGCAGAAGCGGAAAAAACGCGTTGCTCAATTCGAGGATGCAATCAAAGACTCGACGCCTCGTTGTTTGGAAGCTGATGGTGAGTTTTTCTTTAAACCATTCATATAATCATACTAATATTGTAGTTGTCATTGAAAACTTTATCACTAATGCCCATCGGAGACAAGTGTCGAACGCGTTGTCAAGTATACGCGGGAAAATCGCTCAATTTGCGCGCGACGGTGTCTTTGTGTCATACAAGCTGTTTCCCCCACGAGGGAGCACCATCGCAGCAGCACAAAGGCATTGCATCGCAATGGTGAACACACTCATATGGGGCATTGATCCCCTACTCTTCATGCATGCATATTCTGTGGACAAGGTATGTCGCTCTCACACTTCTGGCGCTTCACTAACTATAAGTCTTTCAGCACGGGAATATCACCATTGACGCCAAATTTCAAAATGCGTTTATCATGGCCGGCGTCATTCGTTTTGTGTGGCGCGAGGGCCGCGAAGCCTTTCTCAGCGCCTCGCCACTGAAGGCCATCAAATATGTGATGGCCTCAGTTGGCAGCGGTACTCACTGTGCATTGCAGGAACAGCGCTCCGCTGTTATCACCGTCGACACTTTTGGTGGTCAACACCATGAAGAAAAATTCAAGGAGATCGTGCAAGTGTTCGATGACCTCACGGACGAAGAGAAACTCGAGTTCGAAAGTTATTTGCAGTACGTGCTGGATGTTGGACCATCGCAGGCAGGCAATGGAGAGAGCTCGTCCGATTCTGAATAATATTTTACTACGTATATAGCTTGTTCGTTGTAGTATAGTGTAATCAAGATTATCATTGGATGCTCATGATCATATCAGTACTAGATGTGTTGATAATCGACGCGATACGACGAGATCTCTTGACTAACCTAAAAACGAGCACTCAGGGTGCAACATAACCAAAAACGAATGTTTACAAATGCGAGACCTGAGCTAACTACTTTCAAAACACTCGCAAGCACTCGCAAGCGACTTTTCAACGGACCCACATTTTTAGATGTACGGGAAACATGACTCTCCACTATGATAGTATGATTCTAGGCAAATGTGTACTGATAAACATCACAAACTATCTGGCAATAAGCTTATATGATAACTCCCGAATAAATTCAGAATGATCAACGGGAATGAATACCTATCATGTGACTCAATGTTGTCTGCACAGAGTCACCTGCGGCTTAATGCAATATACGAGGCATGCTTGTCTCTGATTGCTACACCACTCCGAGATGTAAATGCGATGCCCTCCACTCATGTTGATGGTAATACACTGCTGAGTACCACACAGCCATCACCGAACCCAAGTAGTTGTGTTATCATCATACAGAACAACCACATTGTGGAGGGGGGGGAACCATGAACATACTTTTAAGTAACTGCAACGGTTACAGTGAGTTTTTTGCATGTCTGACTTACTAAATACTCATCTTGTAAATAAGCCGTGAGCAAGTCCGAACATGACATGTCGGACTGACTGCAGAGCCCACATCCTTGGACCTCCATTGGTGAGTCAGCCAGAGCCAATGGAGCACGGTTGTGAAAGCATAGTGTTGAGTGGTAACACGTTCGGCGAGTGCGTCATGATAGATGTAGGATCGCCGAATTGCATAGGAGCTGGTAGTCGTCGAGTTCATCCAAAAGAAATTTGGCTCAAGAATGATTGCATCAGTTAAACAAACGGCTCTTGCGTCCTGACATGACCGTAACATTTAGGGGAAGAAGTTCACTGATCTTATAATAAACTCACCTGTATGCACATGTGTTATGCAAAGATGCAGTTTCATTGACTTTTTAAAAAAAAATTGGGACAAGCTATACGCGCCCGTCCATGGTTGTTTCGGCATCTGCCTTTCCAAAGGTAATAATGAGCTCACGATGAAGAAATAAATATCCACAGCAAAAGCGACAATATCAGACACGAGTCTAGCCTAGTTAGATGACAGCATTGACAAATAAATTGGACTTGCTGATATTGCAATACCATCGAACGCGTTGCGTGAACTGAGTCATACTTCCCGCCCTGGGCTGGAGTACAGATATCCCAGTCTCTCCTCCCTCTAGCAGCACAGGCACCAGCGAGATCCTTCATGTCATGAAAGTCCAATCCGAAGAAACTGTTACCAAAATCCTATCGCCAGCTAAGAACGATCTGTTCTTGAAGTCCAAAACCGAAGTTGCACGCCTCTGGGAAATCGAATTCCGTCTCGATCACCTTAAGATCACATTCAATAATCTCCTCGACGCATGGGGAGTGACATGGATATCTTCTCGTTACACAAGGTACTGAATATACACAGACTCCGTGTGAGCGAGGGACTATGTATGTAGTTTGTTTGTTTATTGATTTGCTTGTTTGGTTTGGTTTGGTTTGGTTTTGCTAACCAGAGTCAGTCAGTCACGCATCACGCGTCACTGAGCGGGCACCAAGAGGCGTCATTGATTTATCACAGGCAATGACTCTAGACTATGATATGTAGAGTGAGTATCGAGTAATTACACGACAACGCACAACATGGGGCCATAGACGACCGCGCAGGACTAAAATCAGAATCAAAATAATACAATGTCCAACATAGGGTCATGAATGACCGCACTTGTTTTTGACTAAACTAAGTAACAACTCGAAAGGGTTTCCCTGGTTCGCGAAAATGTTATGCTTATTTTCAGATCTTAGGAAGAGCAGTTTGCTTGACTGGTCAGTGGTAAATGATTGTTAACCTCTTGGATTTTTGGTCAGAAGGAAAGGACCCACCAGCTCCTGTGCAATTGTGGGATCCTATGTTGATCATGACGTGCTGTCCAAAAGTGTTGCCATTGAATATGACGCTTTCACGACCGTATTCCACTAGTGGCACCAATTGTCTTGCTAACGGAGGTTGCGAGGACGTAGGCTCAGTAGTTCCAGCAACGCCAGCAACGTAGTCCAGCTTGGTCACAGCTTGTTTGAAAGGTGAGCCTAAATGGTAAGTTATATGTGTGAAGAACTCACTGGAACCGTCGCAGTTACTCGAGGATATGTTGATGGTTACACCCTCTGCGATAAAGTTATTCTGGATGATGGTGATGCGATTGTTTGCATCCAGCAGTTGATTCGGCAGGGGGATTCCATTGGCATCAGGCAATTTGGACTCAGTTGAAACACAGGGTAGGGGTGCTTCGGACTCAGCCTGAGTGACGGTTGCCATTGTAGAGGTGGGGTTGCTGATAAAAACAGAGGGACGTGCCACATATTTAAACTAACTCGACTGTAAGAATATTTGGCTTGTTAATCTTCGAAAGATGTGATACTGGTACTGACCGGTATGCCGATGCGCCATCAGAAATTAAAGGAATGTGGCACTATTGACGTCTGCAGGAACGTTCTAAGATCTGCATATGGAAATAGTATATGATATGCGGACCGACCTTCCAACAATAAACGATAAACCACGTTAAACAGGTTGACCGGCCCACCTATGAGGTAAGCAATTGACAGAGAACATCAATATTGGATAAACAAATTCGAGACCTGCTTCCAGCTCTTGCTAGCTGGCTTCTTGTCCTTTCCGAACTTTTGCGTTACAGTAGATATTACCGCATGTATCGAGTATTTGAAGACACGCAATTCGTCGTTGCCCCCAATAAACGACTGCCGTTGTGCTATGATACGTAGCATTCAAAACATGAAGAAAAAATATTGTGGGCAGGTTGCGTACCTGCACCGTCGAGGAACACAAGGATAGCTATTATGAGGCTAGGGTGGAAGAAGACCACGATAACGGTAAACTCTTGAAAACCTTGATCGACCAACATCTGACTCCCACGTTAATGGTGGTAGGACTTTGTCGAACACGAACAAAAACCGAAGGGAAGCCGGAGGCGCGCAAAGCCCACTCCCACGATAAGTGGGGTATCCAATCTATGCATAGTCTGCATCAAAACGTGCCGGAACTTCTCTACAGATCCATTCGTGGCTTACATGTGTAACAAGCTCCTTTTATTCTGCCGTGATATTGTCTTGCCTTGAGGAATGACCGTTGATGATTTGAGAGCCGGTTGAATGCAGAAATAGAAGGTGTTCTCAAATGTGAAACACCAATCTATCGCCGGTCTTAGTATGAGAACGAAGAAAGACAACAAGACAACCCCGTACCGGTAAACATTTGATAGCCCCAGATAACACGGCAATAGAAAGGCCACGCAGGGGGCGGACCAAGTCATCAAGACTAAGAGTGGACCACAGATTTTCGCTATCCATATATGGAAGAGACACATAGGGCAACTGAGCAAGCAGAAGGAGCCCCACTTCAACACCATACAGGTCAATAAGATACGCACACAGTCTGGGGCACACGAACATTGGCCGACTGTTCCAAAACAGCATCAACCGACAAAGCACCAAATCACTCACGAAAGTCGACAAAATCCTGGCAAGATAACACCAACGTTAGCGACTTTCGTGCGACGAATACTACTGCTGGAGAGAGGGGCAACGCAGAGAGCCAGAAGAGAGGGGGGGCATCGAAGCGCTCAAATGTCTTGCGATTACGATGGGTTTGTGCGAGAAACAAGCAGTGAAACGATCCATGAATACAATAACAGATGTCACCACATCAGAACGTTGGTCAGAAATAGACCGATGTAGCGCAGCGCAGTGAGTATAGTTGGACGCCTGAAAGACAAGGAGAGATGATGACACGGACACCCCGTTGTGAGTCACCACAACCCACTCGCCGTCTAACCACATACAACCTGCAAACAGTTCAGTGCACAAAAAACAACGGCCACAGTGCTTAACGAAAGATCACGAAAGCCAAGAACATCAGCTTTCAAAGGATTCGAAGCACGATTGATGATATTCGAGGTGATAAAGCGGATCATAGTGATGGGGTGATCTGAGGTGGTATGACCAACTACATGCGATAGACAATGCTTGTCGAGCCCGCGCACGTATGACGCAGCACGAGACTTTGCAGACGAGCATCGGACACTGCAGAAAAGAATAAGCCTATGCACACAGAATGAGAGCCTACAAGTGAGCAGTGTAAAATACAGCAGCAGCAACACTTAACAGCGTGCAGAAAAGAGAAAACCCCACAGCTTGACAACATCAAGTATTGAAACGGGAGCTTCAAAGGCGGACCGTACATAGTTGATTGGCATCATGGTCAAGGAGATTGAAAAAGTACAGAGTAGGACCTTTTCGCAGGGCAGGAGTTCTGGGTAGCGCGGGTAATGGACAAATGTTGCAGGTCTTGAAGCTTGACATATTGGAAATCGAGCGGATTTGGAAAATGACAGGAATGTGCAAAAAATTTAGATTCGCTGGATAGATGGTTGGAATCGCGGCGCGTCAGCGGGCGCTATATAGCTTACATAATATTGATTAATATTCAATGTTTGGGCTTTCGCTTTGTAAAATCTAAGTATTATTTTTGAATCAACTTGCACTGGTTACGGGCGCTCGTAGAATGAGTCTAGGGCAAATGTGGTCCAGCTCAACGCTCACCGATGCAGCTTCCATCGATCTAGTGTCCTTGTTCCCACTATATCAAGACATCACATCTCTCATCCATACTCGAGACAACGCCCAGGAACCTTAAATCTGCCCACATCCGGTGGGTGCACGCATATAAGCTCATCGTCGACGCGTTGATGACGGTTCAAACGTACAAAAGTCGACATGATCCACTCTCGCGCTAAAAATGGCACTGCAGCGATGGACCTCCGGAAAGGCAGTGTTCTCTATACCCCCTTAAGGTATGTACGCTCTTCTTGCATATCGCAGAGTTTATCAGGATCCATTTGCATGTGCAGGAGACGTGCGAATTGTGCCGGTGGGGACAAGCGACAAGCAGTGGTTCTCAAGAGCAACGCGAGACAGATCTGGGCCTAGCCCGAGTGAAGTATACGTATTGTCTGTCCGTGTATTCTACAGAAAGGAGGGGGATGGACGTTCTTGAGGAGCCTGAGGATGGTAAGGACACAGCTCAAGATGCCTTCGCTCGTGTCTGGTGCTAACGAAAACTTTGGCCTGGGAATCTAGGAGCATATCTTTGACGGTGCCAGATATAATTCAGCATATTGAACATGGCCTTCAGAAGTGCTATGTCCATCTGTGTTGCTGGGATGGAGGGGGAACGGGAACATATCAAGTTCCACGTAAGTCCAATTCCTGTAGCAACTTACTATTGGATTCTAGAAATAATCATCATCATCCCTCGCTGCGCATTTTCACAAGTAAAACTGCCCCTTTAAGGATTCGGTATCACGCACGATGACAGATGTCGTGCAACTGCATGCTCTTCGAGTATTCATCACTTTTCTACAGGAAACACGGAACGCTCCGAGGGACCGCCTGATCTTTTTTTTGAAACTTAATCAAACACTATACAATTGGCACCCTTCCCGTGGGTTTTTTCTTTATGGCAAGCTCATTATTACTTTTGGGAAGCGGGTAGCGAAATGGCTACGGGCACCAAGCTCAGGCGCATACGCGCATCCAGATTTTATTTAGAAATAAACGTTGATCGATATCTTTACATAGGCATACAGATACAGGTGGGCGCAAAATAGTACATTCAACATCAACCCTTACTCCACTCTGCTAGACGTCGAGGTCAATTCAAGACGCAAGAACGATTTGTTTAACTGATGCCAATCAACTGTAAGCCAAGTGTCTTTTGGATGAACTAAAAGACCTACCAGCTCCAGTGCAATTTGGCGATCCTACGTTTATCATGACGCACTCGCCAAACGTGTTGCCGCTCAATACTGTGCTTTCACGACCGTGCCCTGGGGTTTCTGCCTGCATTGCTGATGGAGCCTTGAAGGGCGTAGGCTCTGCAGTTGCGGTAACACATTCTAACTTGGCGGTAGCTGTTCACATCGTGAAGTGAGTCAGAGAGATTACACCGTCGCCCAAACCGAGATCAGAGATGATATGCACTCTAATTCGCCTGCAATTGAGAGAATCGTTACAGAAAAGGTCTTGAGTGGGTGAATTCATTTGCGCAGAAGAGTTGCTGCATTTGTGCGGTGCTTGTGAGTCATCAGTGTCTCCGCAATGTTTGCATTTCCAGTAGCCGCTATGTAGCGATGACGCAGGTGCCAGGGGGCGTCCTCCGCCATGTACCATCTCGCTTTAGGGACGTTGATTTTTATGTTTTATTGAATTCAAACTACGTGTTATCAGATCTAAGTTACATCTCCACGAGTCTGGAGCTTTTTAGTTGTGTCACCTCTTTGCATGAATTTTGCTGGCACAACCGGTCTGGCATAACCGAACTCGGCTGTGCCATTTGTACCTCGGTCCTCGCCGCTCTCGGGGGATTCTAACCACGCAAGCAATTCTCAAAGGCCCAGAGTCTCGGTTGACAAACTATTTCTCGCTTCAATTTACCGTATGGTTCCGGTAATAAGTCTTTAAAATGGACCAATCCGTCCTTGTTTATTCGCTCACTGCTCTAGCCATCTCATTACCTTGTGTGAGTGATAATTTCAACGCCAACGTCTGGTCTTTCGTTTTTGTATGATGAGCACCCATTTCATCCTTGTTCTTCGAGCCATGGGCCGTCTCGAGAGACGTTGCGCCGCGGCGAGGACGACAAATCCTGGGTCAGGGAATCAGTTCCCTCTTGCCTGACTATCTTCTCCATTCCAATCCACTTGAACATTTTCGCTGATGATCACTAGCTCTATCTAGCTCTCATCTTGCTTTCACCTCCTCCAATAATAACTCGACCCTCAGAAAAAACATACCGCTCACGAAAATCCCTCAAAGGCCCTCTCAGCCTTCCATCTCTCGCCGATGCAGCCTCCATTGATCTCAGCGTCATCATTCCCGCGTACAACGAGACATCCCGTCTCCCGTCCATGCTCGAAACGACACTTGATCACCTTAACTCCACTTCCATCCGCCAGACACGTACATACGAGCTCATTATCATCGACGACGGTTCAAAAGATGACACGTCCGCACTTGCCCTAAAACTGGCACAGCAACACCTCAATAGCGATATTCGGGTTGTCACCCTTGAAAAGAACCTTGGCAAGGGCGGTGCGGTACGCCATGGGATGCTACACGCACGCGGAAACAGACTGTTGATGGTGGATGCGGACGGTGCAAGTCGCTTTGAAGACTTGGAACTGCTGTGGAAAAAGATGGACGAACTTGAGCGGGAGAACGAGCCGACGGTGGTCGTCGGCAGTCGAGCGCACCTCGTCAAGACCGAAGCTGTGGTCAAGGTACGCCTTTTTACCGATATGACATGACTGACTTCTTACACCGCTCTCCGTTAGCGCTCTGTGCTCCGCAACATCCTCATGTATGGCTTGCACACTATCCTACGCATAGTGGGCGTGGGGCATATTCGTGACACTCAGTGCGGATTCAAACTATTCTCACGCCGCGCTGCACAGCAGATTTTCCCTGCACAACATCTTGCCACATGGATATTCGACGTTGAGCTACTCCTGCTTGCGAAGCAGCTGGGTATAGCTGTTGCAGAGGTCCCCGTACAATGGCATGAGGTGGCGGGGAGCAAACTGAATGTTGTCAAGGACTCGCTACAAATGCTCAGGGACCTGCTCGTTCTCCGCGCTAACCAGCTCACCGGACGATGGAAAGTATCACCATGATGATATACCACGGCCAAGCCAGTCACGGAAAAGCAGGATTTGTCTATGCGCATGGTGAATGTGCTCTCGCCAGCTCTGCAAAGACAAGTTAGAATATATCATGATTGTACATAGAGTAACATCAATTATTGTAGATGTAGCGTTACATGCGCCATCCTGAGTCAGGTGCGGCCACTTTATAAGCACACTCTGGAAGTTTGGCTGGAATATTAAAGCAGCTCAATGCAATGATTCGGACTTGGTCATAGCGACGAATCCGAACGACAGCGCCGACTCGCAGAACGAGTCTCCAGGTTCCAGGCTTATTGAAATTTGAAGATAAGATATAAAAAGTGTAGCTGATCGTACACCTTCGGCCTTCGGTCCTCGGAACTTCATCGGAACCTTGCGTACAATCGGGTATTACTTCCCACGGATGCTATGACTGTTTGAATCAGCAGACTCTGACCTTTACAGCGGGGTGTCCAATCAAACCAGCAAGCAACCTTTACACGTTATAATCGCCTGAGCGACCGTGACGGAGAGCTACTTCAAAACTACTTGACAGCGGAGCATTAGTGGTGAGATGTAAAGCTCGAGCACTGCCAGAGACACAGCCTGTCTCTAGAGGTACGTCACGGTTTGGCAGTGACTAACTACTTTACACAGGAGTGTCTCTTGTGCGCTTATATGATATCATGCACCATGTCTTATGGTTCGTTCACGTATTAATGTTCACTGTGTGTTAGTTAACATTTTTCTCTGTCTGCAGTTCTTCACTCATGACAATAATTTTTCAAGCATCATCCGCCATCCGCCATCCGCAAATCATCTCCATCTCGCAACAAGACGAGTGCTTTCTCTTCTTTAGGTTAGCATGTTCCAAAAATATACCCTGATGAGCTAGACCGCTGATGACACTAAGGCTCTATAAAGTTGGGCCCTCGTATTGTCCTCGTCTCGTACGTTCCCAAGTCATCCAGGTTGTTCTCGCCATGGTCTCAACAGGCATTCCGCTAGATACCGCTA